AGTAGGATTGCCCAACCTTCCTTCCGAGGAGTGGCTGGTGGGTTTGAACCGCCAGCCATCTGGTTAGCAGGCAAGTGTCTTAGCCACTATGCTATACATTACCTTCTTGAAAAATATTTGACTTTTATGATTACTTGGCATAAAGTATGCATACAGTCGGAGAATATCAGAAGCTTGTCCTGAAGTAAGCACAATATTGACCTTGACTGCCCAAGACTGTATGATTAAAAAGTTGAATAGGTTGCTCTGTAGATCATTCAGGCCTTCATCTGAAACTATCAGGAAATATGGATAACTCTCTTCCAAGAAACATTTCCACTCTTGTGATAGGCATCCTGAAAATTTAGTTCGAACATCAATGGTGGTATTATGCTGAAGATGAAGAATTAAAGCACTTCGCAAAGGAAGAAGTTCAGGAAAATTGATATATGCATACTCAGCATCCTGTGGGGCAGAGGGGAGTACATTATTTTGAAATGATCATTTAGTAATTTATTGGTTTAGTTGGTTAACAGATATTATTAAAAGAATTAAGGAATAGGATCCAGCCCAGTTTTATTGTTTCATAGTCAGGAAATAGATCTTTAAACCTTGACTGTCATTACAACAAATGTATGACATAAACCATAATTCACATTTAAATACATTTGTTCCTTAAACAGTCACAGAGTACTGAGGGTTTATCACACTTTCCTTTCCCACTCTCTAACTCTTTCCCTTTCCAACCTCAATTCAAAAGAAAAAGTCTAGAAAAATCTAAAAATAAAATAGTGGTTATATCTTATCTGGAGTGGAAAGCTGAAGTGGATTTCTTTGTTAGGGAGGATTATTGCCTCTTCTTAAGCAGTAAAGGTTTTTCTCAGCAGACTAACATGTGTAATTTATTAAGCTAGATTATAAACATTAGACCAGTGCCCTCGTGTTTTACTTACAACACTACCTGCAACTAGCAAAAAATAATAATAGTCAGGATTGCAAAATGATTGAACAAAAATACACACCCAAATCATTAAGTATAATGTACCTTTATGGATAAAATGAGGAAGGTGAGGTACTGGTTATAAATATCTGTAATGGATAACTATATGTGTCAACTTATATAGGCTATGATTTCCAATGTTTGGTCAAACACTTGTCTAGTTGCTGTTCTATAATGTAATGTAATTACCTTCCACAATGTAATTCATCAGTTGAAAACAGATCTACCTTAATATATTTTCTGCAGCCAGACTATAAATAGGTACTTCACTGTGTACTCTTTCTGTCACTTGACCTGTGGATCTTGGGTTATAAGCCTGGGTGAATTTCCAGATTGACCCACAAATTTTGGACTTGCCATGCCCCCACAAAACTGTGATCTATCTAATTCCTTGAAGTAAATAAATCAATGTGTGTGTGTGTCTTATACTTATCTATATCCATGCACACAGATACAGATATATATGAAAGAATCTGATTCAGTTTCTCTAGAGAAACCTAAGATGATAATATTTGCATCCAAGTGGTTAAATTTTGAATTATATTATAATTTTAAAAAAGAAAACAAAGACATGCTACTCTCTTGAGGATAGTAACTATAGAGAAAACCAGTAACTATAGAGAAATCTTTTGGCCTAAAATAAATTAACTGCTGAGTTTTGAAGATAAAAGTCACTCTCAGAGTTGGAGGACTAGAACTGAGAGGTGACCAGGTTGCTGTTTAGGAGATTTCTCATGCAGTGTGTCCTGACACTAGAGTTCCATCATTATAATAGAAGATAATCTTAATTGTGATAATATCTGAATACCAAGTTTATAGATAATCTTTTTGTATTCTTTTCTTTAAATTTTCTGAATTTTTATAGATATATTTTACTTTGTAATAATAGTACTTATAAGACAATTTAGTGGATTTTAGCTTTAGTTCCCATATCATAGTAGAGAATTCAAGTATCAGCTGGGAAAGTTTACCTTGAAAAAAACAATAGCAAATTGTCCTCCTTTACTCATAAGATCCACAAGATAGCATTCAACCAGATAGAAGAAGTGGAGATTCTGCCCCACCTTTAATGATTTCTCACAAAGACATGTGGTAAGTAATGAATCTCCGTCAATAAGAAAAAATTCAGATTCAACAAAATCATTGAATAAACTGGAATATCTAAAATGAAAGACAAAAATCACATATAGAATAAACAATTTTCAATAAAAGCAGCAGCACTGTTATTATCTCATCATTATGATCAACAAATGACTTTCTTAAATAATTATCTTATGGTAGCCTCTATACTAAGGCTTTCAAATACATTCATATGTAGAACTATCTTTCACAAGAAGAAGGTAAGATACTTACCATTTTATAGATAAGTAAATTTAAGCTCAGAGATGGAGCAAATTATCTAAGGCCACATGGAAGACTTTAATATCTCTACTGTGAATATAAAACCAATAACCAGTTGCTGTGAGTTGACTTCAAATCATGACAACCCTATGCATGCCAGAGTGGAACTATTGTCCATAGGATTTTCAGTGGCTGATTTTTCAAAAGTAGATCACCAGGTCTTTCTCCTTAGGCACCTCTGAGTAGGCTTGAATCTCCAACTTTTTACTTAGCAGCTGAGAGTGTTAACCATTTGCACCATCTAAAGACTTACTCTGAATACAGAAAGTGTTACATTTCTACATATCAATCTCATTCCTTTATAAAGTATTATGTTCACTGATAGCCATAGACAAATAAGACAAGAAAAAACTGTTCCCACCACCACCAAACAACTCTAAAAGAGCTATGCTGAAAAATAAAATATATTTGTAAGGCCAAATAAGGAGTTCTAGTGGCATAGGGGATAAGGCATTTGGAGGCTAACCAGAAGGTCAGTGGTTCAAATCCCCCAACTGCTCCATGGGAGGAAGACAGAGCAAGCAACTTCTGTAAAGATTTACAGCCTTAGAAACCCAATGAGGGCCGCTGTAAATTGGAATCAAGTCAGTGGCAGTGGACTTTAAGGCCAAATAGATATACTGTTGTTACCGTTGGCTGCCAGTGAGTTGGATCTGACTGATAGCAGCCCTATATACAACAGAATGAAATATTGCCTAGTCCTGCACCATCCTAACAGTCGTCACCGTGTTTGAGTCCACTGTTGCAGTCATTCTGTCAGTCCAACTTATTGAGAGTCTTTCTCTTTTTGCTGAGCCTCTACATTACCAAGCATTATGTAATCTCCCAGGGAATAGTCCATCCTAATAACATGTCCAATGTACATAAGACAAACTGTAGCCATTCTTGCTTCTAAGGAACATACTGGCTGTGCTTCTTCCAAGATAGATTTCTTTTTCTTGTAATTCATGGTACATTTGATATTCTTTGCCAACACCATAATTTCAAGGCATCAATTCTTCCTTGGTCTTCCTTATTCATTGTCCAGCTTTCACAAATATATGAGATGATTAAAAATACCATAGCTTGGTTTAGGGACACCTAAATTTGCAAAGTGATATCTTGCTTTTTAACACTTTAAAAAGATCTTTTGCTACAGAAATACAACTAGAGATATACAAATAGACAAATAGGAAATATGATTTCTCAATTCCTTATTACTTATTACTACCACAATACTCACTCAGCTTTAGGTATTTCCTCCAATATTAGCTGTGACATTTTGTCTAAAAACATTGTGTATTTTTCTAAACATAAAAGAGAAAGAAAATGGATTATTTTCAAACATCAATTTTCTTTAATAAAGCTATTATTTAGTTATTATTTTGGAAAGAAGAAATAGTAATATAGTTATTTGAATTCCATTAAATCTGTGTAGCTTAAAAAATCATTGGTTTATAATGTACAAAAATTTTAACTTGAAATTGAAATTACCCATTCTTGCTGTTCTATGTGCCTCTAAACCAAACTGATAAAGATAGCAAGTTTCCTTTAGTCTGGCACCTTTACGTGACAGTTATTCAAAAAAATGGCAAACATAAAATAAAGGAAGAAAAATAAAAAATTAATTTATTCCTTCAACAAATAAATATTGAATGACAACTGTGTATTTAGCAAAATGCTATTGTTGTTAGCTGCCATTGATTTGGATTCAATTTTTGGTGACCCCATGAGTTACAGAATAGAACTGCTCTATAGGGGTTTTTCAGCTGTAATCTTAATATAAACAGATCACCAGGCCTTTTCTCCTACGGTACCGCTGCATGGGTCAAACCGCCAATCTTTAGGTTAGCAGTTGAACACAAACTGTTTGTCTCACCTAGGGAAATGTTAGGCATTGAGAATATAAAAACGAACAAAAGCCAACATGATGTCTGTTTTCATGGACTTACAATCTATCAGAAAACACTAATGTTAATCAATCACAGACAATAGAAAATTACACATGTGACTAAGTCAAAGAAGTCAGAGAACACATCCTTAAAGAAGTAATGCTTGAGCTGAGTTCTGAAAGATAAAACAAGAAAAAGAAAAATAGCTTAAAAGATAACACTGTAGGCAGAGGGAATACCAAGTTCAAAAACCCTGTACCATGAAGGAGTTTGGATGAAAATGAAATCAGGCTGGACCAGAAGCCAGTGTGTCTAGAGTGGAGAGAGTGAAGGGAAGTGCTTACTGTGCTACAGAAATTTAAAGAAACAGAAGGACATGTTGAGCCTTTAAGAAAATCTTACAGACTTTTTCTTCATAAGGAAATTTTTTGAAGATTGGTTTTAATCAGGTCCTATTATGACTAGCTTTGCATTTGTAAAAGATTATTCTGGCTAAGTGTGGTAGTTACATTTGTGTGTCAACTTGGCTAGGCCTGGTTGAATGGCTGGGCAGCTGGATGTAGTATTCCCCATAATGAGACTGGTAATCAACTCCATGGTGGAAACTACTGTGAGCACCTGAGTAGCTGCCCTAGGGATGTGATCTGCTTCCTGTATATAAGGAGAAGCCTTGGGGAATGGTCTCTAGCTTATGGCATGCTTGGTCCTTGCATGTAGCCATGTCATTGTTCAGCAGCCTACCATGCTCTGCCGACCTTGGGGGTTCCAATGGATTTGAATGAATGGCCTGCCATGTGGTTTGGTAATATGGGGAGTGTGCCATTTTATTTGTCAACCTTGGGTTTGTTAGCTTCAGCAGCCAGTAGCTGCCTGAGTGAAGAGATTCCTCTAACTTCAGTGGGCCGGGAACAAGAGGCAGAGCTGAAGCCCAAGGCCGAGGAGCTTTCACACAGCCCCTAGAGGCTGGAACTTCCAACTGGGACTTAAAGCCTCCAACCTATGAGAGAATAAACTCTTGTTTGTTAAGGCCATCCCATTTGTGGAATATTCTTGTCAGAGTGGCACCAGGTACCCAGAACACTAAGTATGGAAAATAGATAGAACAGGAGCAAAGTTCAAAGTCCTATTGGTAGAGCAGAGAAAGCTGGTATCTAGGAAAGTATTGATGGTAATGTGGCAGTCCACAGATAAAGAACGAGTTCCATTCTTCAAGTCAAATTTCTACATTAAGTTAGAACAATTAGGTCCAGTTCTTATCTAATGTTAGTTAAAGGTTTGTCTCAGTATATAGTGTACCTTTGTATACATAAAAAAAAAAATAAACAAACACTTCCAGATACAATAAAACATCTTTAACATAATAATATAGTAACATTTTGATGCATGTTGCAAAATAGTGTTCATTTGTTATTAGGAACCATTGTATGTACTTTGAATTTTAGGTTTTACAGGGGTTGATTTCATATTATGGCTTGTATATAAATGAGATGTTCATAGCCTGGGGACTGCTTGTATAGTTTAATGACCTCCATTGGGTTTCCAAGGCTGTAAATCTTTATGGACTAGATTGCCTCATCTTCCTCCCGTGGAGCAGCTGGTAGGTTTGAACCACTAACTTTGAAGTTAGTAGCCAAATGCCTTATCCACTAAGCCACCAGAACTCCTTAGTTTAATGGTAGCATGATCTAATATAACTAAAGATGTGCCAATTTATTTGAAGGATATTTAATAGGTGAGTTTGATATAATTTGGTGTTGGATTGAATTTGAGTGGTCAGGAGAGGAGAGAGGGGGCTTTTAGGTATGATTCATGATCTCCATCTTATGCAAGAGATGGATGACTATGTCATTGCATGGACAGGGGACTTTAGAATTACTCAAAAGAGGAAAAATCGTGAGTTCAATTGTGTACATCCTAAGTTTAAACTGCTTTTAAGTTTTCATAGAACATGTCATATAAGTTTAATATACAGGTCTAAAAGTTAAATACAAGATCTGAGTGAGATCTGAATTGTGAATAATTTGCTTATTAATGGTAATTGAAGTCCTTGTGGTATAGTTTCTAAGGCATTTAACTGTTAACTTGGAAGGAAGACTGGGCAATCTACTTCCATAGAGATTCCACCTCAGAAACCCAAGGAGGGGTCTCTATGAGTTGGGATGGACTCAACAGCAATATAGATGAATTTGCTCGGACAGAGGAAGAGAACATCAAGGGAGAAAAGAACCAAAATCTAGTCTCGAGAACCACTATTGTTTATAATAAATGGCAGAAGAGAGAAGAAAGAATCTTTAAGAGTAACTGAGACAGAATTATCAAAGAAGTAGAAGACAATGCACTTGAGAAATTTGTCATGGAAACTAAATTCTAAAACACTCCTCAAAAATGCCGTACAATGTGATGGGACTGTGAAACATTAAATATGTTAATATATAGACAGGTTCACATTTCATGCCATTAAGGAACATATAATGTGAAGGTACACATGACATTAAGCATTAAAATAATAATGCAAGGAAGTATACAACTGTAGAAATGAGTAAACACTTAAGAAATATGAACTACTTCAGGATTAGAGGAAGAATCATTAACAACCTGCAATATGCAGATGACACAACCTTGCTTGCACAAAGTGAAGATGACTTCAAGATGACTTAGTGATAAAGATCAAAGACTACAGTCTTCAGTATGGATTGCACCTCAACATAAAGAAAAGAAAAATCTTCACAACTGGACCAATAAGCAACCTCATGATAAGTGGAGAAAAGATTGATGTGGTCAAGGATTTCATTTTACTTGGAACCAGTCAACACCCATGGAAGCATCAGTCAAAAAAGCAAATGAGGTATTGCATGGGCCAATCTGCTGAAAACAAAAGAAAACAAAACAAAACAAAAACCTCTTGAAAGTGTTAAGGAGCAAAGATGTCACTTTGAAGGCTAAGGTGTCTGACCAAAGCCATATTTTCATTTGTCTCATATGCATGTGAAAGCTGGACAATGAATAAGGAAGATCAAAGAAAATTTGATACCTTGAATTTTGGTGTTGGCAAAGAATACTGAAAAACCACGGACTGTCAGAAGAATGAACAAATCTGTCCTGGAAGAAGTGCATACAGAATGTGCCTTTGAAGCAAGAGTAGCCAGACTTTGTCTCACCTACTTAGGTCATGTTGTCAGGCAGGACTAGTCCCTGATATCATGCTTGCTAAAGTATAGGATCAGCGAAAAATGGGAAGACCCTCCACGAAATGGATTCAGACAGTGGCTGAAATGATGGGCTTAAGCATAGCAAGCATTTTGAGGATGGCACAGGAGAGTTCAGTGTTTTGTTCTGTTGCACAAAGGGTTGCTATGAGACAGAACTGACTAGATAGCAGCTAACAATATGTTACAGAAGGGAAGACAGTTTGTGAAAAAAATAGTGTAAAAGTCCACAAGGTGAAGTAAGTCATACATTCCCAGATGCTCATGGTGACTTTATATATCAGAAATATTTTTTGCAATACTCTTAGGGCAAAATAAATACATAAAAAAGTGTCATTTACTGAGTAGTTAGGTCCAAACAGTAATTATTTATGTCATAACTATGTAGTAAGTATTTGAAAATATAATACCTATAAAGAAAAAAAAGTCATTATAACTTAATAACCACAATTGTTGTTGTGTTGTTATGTGCCCTCGAGTCGGACTCGACTCATAGTGACCCTTTCTTGGATTTCCGAGGCAGTATCACTACAGAAGTAGATTGCCGCATCTTCCTTCCGAGGAGGGGCTGGTGGGTTTGAACCGCCAGCCTTCTGGTTAGCTATTAAGTGCCTGGCACTAGGCTACCAGAGCTCCTATAACCACAATTACTAATGAGATATGTATACTTGTTGGGCAATGTACACCTTTCCAGCAACAATCATGGTGGCAGAAAAAAAACAGTTGCCATTAGTGTACTCCACAGGGTTTTCAAAGGCTAATTCTCCTCTCTACCCCCAAATAGATTGCCAACATCAGTCAGCAGCCTAGCTCATCAACCATTAGCACTACTCATGGACTCCTCTGAGGAAAGGAAGGGAAGGAGGAAGAAAAGGAAGGAGGCAGCTAGGGAGAAAGACAAATAAAACCAAAACCAAACTCACTGCCTTAAAGTCATTTCTGACTCATAGAGACTCCTCCTTGGGTTTCTGAGATGATATCTCTATGGAAGTAGACTGACCAATCTTCCTTCTGAGAGGAGTGGCTGGAGGAGTGCTGGTGGGTTTGAACCACCAACCTTCTGGTTAGCAGTCAAATGCCTTAGGCACTACACCACCAGAGCTCCCAGGAAGACAAATAGACATATGCAAATTACTAGATATTTGAACAACAACAAAAAAAGTATTAAAAAGAAAAACCAGAT